GCCCATGCGCGAACGCGCAAATTCTTTCCAGGCCGCTTGGCAGCCACATCGGGCAAATCGCAAACAGTGCGTTTCGCGTGCTCGGTGGCCTCGCTGCTCGTTGGCCTCGCCGTCTGCTCATTGGCTGCTTCGCTGCACACTCAAAACAGTGCACGTGCGAGCAGGGCGAGCCTTCTCGCGCCCGGTCGAGTAGCCTCATTGGTGTGCGAGCCGAATTATGGGTGCACTGGAGAAGGCGACGCCGCGAGTTGATGAGACCCCGCAAGAGGAGACACTTGTCGCCGCGCTGGAGAAGGCGACACCCGAGCGCGCCACAGCGCCCAAGAATCCGATCCACTGCGGGCTCATTGTCGGACGGCCGCACCAAACTGAGCGCTTGGAAGTGCGGTATGCCTCGCCAGACAGCTGGGAGCGCTTCGACGTGCGACTCGTCCTGAAGGACCCGACCAAAGGGTGCTTCGACCCAGCCGAGCCGGGCACCGACGCTGGGCGCGACTGGCTCGAAGTGGTCCTGCGGCCGGCTGGCGGCGGCGAGTGGCGGCTGCGCTTGCCCGCCTACGCCGCGCACCTCGTTGATCCCACCACGCTGTACGAGATCGAAGACGTCGGCTCCGACGCGCTGAGCACCTTTTGGAGCGACGGCACTTGGTCGGGTTCGCTAGTGTGGGACGCGGCCGTGCATGTGACGGAGGAGATGCTCGGGACGGAGCTGGGCGAGAGGATGCGCGGCACGAGTGTCCTCGAGCTAGCCTGCGGCCTCGGCTTGCCGGGGCTGACGGCGCATTGCCTCGGCGCCTCTCGCGTTGTCCTCAGCGACCGCGGCCAAGTCGTCGGCCTGGTGGAGGAGGGGCTGCGCGCCAACAGGGCTGCGCTCTCGGGAGGCGGACGGCCGGTGCCCGTAGCGGCGGTCCTCGACTGGGGATCGGCCGCCGCGCGCGAGTTGCTGCAGCAGCGGCTCGGCGGCAGCCAACCCGACTGGATCATCGCGTGCGACTGCATCTTCGAGTCGCTCTTCGGCTCCACCGACGGTGTCACGTCGATCTTCCTGCTCCTCCGCGTGCTCGAGCTCCTGTGCTCGCCCACGACTCGTGTGCTCGTGGGACTGGAGCGGCGCACGGGAGACGGTGCCGAGAAGTTCCTCGCCGCCGCCGAGGGCGCGGGATTCGTGGCGTCGCTTCGCCGGCGTCACGGGCGCGTCGTGATTTTCGAGATGGGGCGGGCCCGCATGCCCCGTGCGCATGCCGATGGGGCGACATAGCGACGCATTGCACCGTGCCATATCTTACTAATCCACCGCTGTATGTCTGCTCACACTGACATCATGCCTAGCGCGAGAAACCCTGAGCCCCGGCTGGTGTCGAGGTGTTTGTAAGGCCCGGTCCTGGTCTCCCCGCGGTGTCGCGTCTGTGTCAAGCCGGTGTCGAGGGACAGACGTGTCGAGGGGGTGTCGAGTGGCATCTAGAGTGTCGAGCGGTGTGCGCCTTGGTTCATCGCTGCCCCTGAGGGAGGAGATCATCCATCTGCTATAGCACGTGTTCTTTTCGTACTGAGTGCATAGCTCCTACCCCTCTTGCCACAGTCAGACGAGAGGCGAGAGGCACAAACCACAATCGCTCCCCCGGGACCCGGCCGGCGCCGGCCGTCTGCGTCTCTGTTCTTTGAGAGACACTCTACTCTCCCCCTACATACATCTCGTACCCGCTCTACCAGTGAAGGGACAGGGCGGGTCGCGGGTACGGGTGTAAGGAAAGCGTCAGTGAGCGATGCCGACGGTCGGAGATTGCCTTGTGTGAGTCGATCGCACTTGAGAGAGGCACGGCATGTACTTTACTTTCCCTGTTTTCTCACACACAAGTGTGTCAAACTCACTCAACGCAGTAGCCAACACACTTCGGAGCTCTCACGTAATCACACACTCACTATGTGCACCAATGAACAGGGCGAGAGAGCGTGTCCTGCGACAGCTTTTGTCGGGTGCCTAGGCTCTCTCAAACATGGCTCCGCAGCCATCGGGTGGGGTTGCTGAGCTTGACCTTGATGTTCCTTGCTGAGACGGTGCATGTCTGTGCCGTCGACTTTGACGGACAACCCCCCGGGCCGTATTTCCCAGGGACAGCTGCCCAGATGTCGCTCCGGAGCTGGAATTTGCACTCACCCTGCACGCATCCGACTGTGTTGTACCAGTCGCTGTACGTTGTGGAGGACACGTACTCCTCACACGTGCCCTTCGATGTCTGATCGCACACACCCATCGTGGCCTTGCCGCTGCTGCCGAGAGTTTGATCGACAGTGAGCGTGTAGTGGAGCTGCATGCCCGTCGCCGGGTACTGCTGTTGAAAGCAAATCGAGTCGCCGTGCTGGTTCGGGGCACAGGTGTTTTCTCCGAGGCGGCCTCTCTTAGCCGGCCGGCCTCGCTTTGACGCGGCGCGCTGAGCTCACCGTGCGCGCTCCTGCTGGCGGAAGGCATGGGTGGGCTTCCATGCGGAATCACACGCGCGCGGCGGCAAGTAGCGCGCTCCACCTGTGTGCAGCGGAGACCCGCGGCGCCGGCGGATCCCCGTGTCTTCCCCTTCCGCACCAGGCGTGCGGAGCGGTGGGGGAGGACGCTCTGGCGGAAGTTTTTGTTTTCACGTTTCGTTTCACGTTCATGTGGCGCCTCAAGCCTCTTCCACCCCCCACCCGGCCCCCACCGCCCGCAGCTGACGGCTCTAGTAGCCGTCCGTCGCGGCACGCGGCGGGCCGACCGGCCGACGACCTCCCTCGCTTCCCTTCGCCCTCCGAACCCTTGCTAAAGGTGCGACATCAACTGCGTAGCAAGGGCGAGGCCGCGACCAGCAAAGCGCGGAGAGGCGGAGCAGCAGGGCGGGTCTCCCTGAGCGCGCGTGGAGCGGGGGCCGCCGTGCACGGCGCGCGTGCTAGACAGTAGCGCAGTACACGAGAGCGTGTCGCCGTGTGTGGGGCTGCGGCGGCGATCACAGGCAGGGGACGACCCCACGAGGCTTCTTTTTTGCGCTAAGAGCTAACCTAGGTACGTACGGCAGTAATCCGGAGCCCACGGGTTCAAATTTGAAGTGCGCTCTCAGCGGAGGCGCCTCTCTCCCAGAGTGGGAAAGGAGAATGGTAGTTTTGGTAGGGTCTGCGGGGGATCAAGTTTTCCGAAACTCGCAATGTCAAAGAAGGACAATGAGGCGCGCACGTTGATGCTTGCGTCCCCTACTCACGCCATTCAGACGCCTTCAGGTGGCCGGCGCTGTTGTCGGAGCTATTCCCGGCTGAATAGAAAACGCGAAATTGAGCCCTGCTGCGGCAAGATGTTATCTGCCAGAACACGAATGGCGCTATTCCTCCAGATCAGGTACTCTTCCGCACCTTCAAACCGGCCGGCGTTGGTGTCTGCGTCGGTCAAGAAAGAGGTGAAGATCGCTTCACAGCTAATTGCAAATCTGAACCATTTTGCGCTGTCTCCAACTATGTTGTCACGAAACTTCTCACTTGCCCGGACTGCGTTACGGTTTAGCCGAGACTCGCAGTCCCGCATCCCGTTCTCAGACTGCAGCTCCATAAACTTAAATGACACGATGAGAGCCGGAAAGAACCATGCCATCGGAGACCCGGAAAAAAACCATGGACGTAGGGGGGGAATAAGGGGAATGGTGATCAAGAAAGCGGCTTTCCATTGCATTCCCGAGTCGTCATGCATATGCATCAGCCCGAGAATAATGGTGCTCGAGATGGGGTACATCTCGATGAACATGCAAGCAAAGCCAGCGAGGAAAGCAAGAGGAACGAACGTACTGAAAACGACAATCAGATATCTGATAGCGTCGATCTTTGCGTCGCGAACCAAGCCCATTCTGTTTAAACCGGATCGGGCGAAGTCGACCATCATGTAATTTGCGACCGACGACGTGATTAGGAAGAACATCGTGGTGACGGAGGACCTGCGGGGACGGAGGAACGAACTTGGCATCCCTCCCCGAACTTGGCATCCCTCCCCGCAGGCTGTAATGGGTGTTCAAATGGTGTTCGCGCAATCTGCACAATGGGTGTTCGCGCAATCTGCATAGCCGTCCCACAGCAGCTCTCAGAGAGCAGGCGGCGTCTTGCGCGCAGCGCGCTGGACGCACCCCTTGGAAGGGCCGGTGGGGAGAACGACCTGCCGTATGAGGTTGAAGGAATCACGCGAGAGACGGTGCCAGCCGTGAGGGCACACCCGACAGTCGCCGCACTATCAACCCAACCCGCGGCAGCGTGGTGTGCCGAGTACTAGCAGGTGAGAGACGCAGGATGGGAATAGGAAACAGCTCTTGCAAATCACCGGAGTCTTCCGGTTGTTGAGGGCGACGATGTGCTATTGGCGCTCAAGGCATCAAGGGTCCTTGCGCGCACACGTCCCCTGTTTCAAAGTGGGCGCCCGCGGAGGTTTTCATCGTTTTTCTTGTTTCATGAGAAAATACGTCTGTGAGACGTGTCCTCGAAACCAATTGTTGTTTGTTGCATGCAGGCACAGTCGGTCGGGCGGGCGCCTGGCGGGCGTCGGTCGAGCGAGGGCGTGCGTGCGGGCAGAATGTTCGACATTGGTAACCCCTTGCTTCTCGGCGATCCGGTTGGGAGAGATTTTTAGCAATACCAAACAAATTTTGTTGTCCGGTTGGAGGAAAGGTTATTTTCCGTCTCCCAAGGTGCCGGTATGATTTTCTTTAGATTATGATGTTGCTGGCAAGACAGAGAGCTCGGACAACATCACAGCGGCTACACCAACCGCGCCCCCCCGCCCCCCAGACCCGTGTGTCAAGCCCCGGGGGTGTCCAGGGAGGCAGAACAGAGTGTCGTCGAGGGAGGGGTGTGCCCTCGCCGGTGGACCCCCCCCCCCCCCCCGGCCTGTTTAGTCGCAAGACGCAAGTCGGAGAGTTCTAGGTCGATTATATTACGGCGGAGAGTCCTCAGAGTGCGCCCCGCCGCTCGCGGCGCGTGAGGCCCTGAGCTGTCTCCGAGAGAAGCTCCGCGAGCCTCGACGTGAAAACACGATTATAGAGAGAGACGCGCAAACGAATCGAGAATAGACCCCCTGCTCGCCCCGCGCTCCTCGTCTCACGGGACGCGACCTCGAGAGATATGAACACGGGACGAGCAACGTAGTTGGGAAGAGAGAGACATAATGTGTGTGTGGCGTCGAGAGAGAGTGACGCTGAGTACTCGCGCTGCCTTCGGCCTGCGCCACGCCTGCCCGCCGCCGCGAGGGGGCGCGGCAGGCGGGCGGGCAGCCGCCAACCGCCGCCCGCCCAGCTCAGCTCACCTTGCTGCAGATGGTGGACTGGAGCGCCGCGAGCTGCGTCGACCACTTGTCGAGCGCGCTGTACTTTTTGGCGTCGGCCGCCTTGTCGGTGAGGAGGAGGAGCGCGCCGACCTGGTCGATGTGGCCGTCGATGTGGCCGTCGAGGATGAGCGAGACGAGCAGCTCCTCCACCTCGCCTGTGATCAATGAAGTATGGTTGACATCAGCTGATATTCATCAGGCGAGCTCCTCGACCTCGCCCTGCGCGATGTTGAGCTCGCTCGAGATGAAGGAGAGGCGGATGCGCGTGTACGGCTTGATGACGCGCAGCAGGACCTGCGACGCACACGCGCGGGTGGAGCACGGCTCAGGGGGCGGAGGGGGCGGAGAGGCTGGGGGCGGGGGCGAAGGCGGGGGCGAAGGCGGGGGCGAAGGCGGGGGCGGGGGCGGGGGCGCAGGGCGGGGGCGGGGGGCGGCTCGCCTGCGTGCGGATGTTCTTGAGCAGGTCGTCGAGGTACATCTTGATGAATGCGTCGCCCATGATGGTCGAGTTGTTGCGCTTGAGGATGCGCTCGAACTCGCCTTTGGC